TTACTTATTATTGAGATATATTTTTTTTATGAATTCCTAACAGAACTTTAAGAACTCGTTCTTACTGTAATTCAATTGAATACTTAATATAGTATTGTAATCTAATAATTATTAAACTAGTATTCATATGATCCGATTCAAAGGAGTGCGTCAGAACGCGCGTCACGAATGACATTGTTGGTGACGCAAACGCTTCGAAGGATTTAGGACTAGTTACTGCTTTATCTTAGTTATTTTTAACATGACACGTTATAAAAGTACTTTGAAGTACTTCAACAAATTAATCCAGAAAAACCCTTCCAATCCAAATATTTTTGATTAATTTTGTCCCTCATTTTTAATGCATTATTTGGGTTTCCTTTTATAGTAGTAACTAATTCTCTGTAGCTGTGCCTTAAATAAAATAAATTATTATAAAAATTATAACCTAGAACATAACAACATTAACTGTGACTTTCCGGTTCTAAAGAATTTGTTAAATCAAAAATCAATCAAAATAGTTTTATTGTGCCATCCATTAATAAATAAGAACACTTTTACACTTTTAGTGACAATATTAAAGTAATAATTAGCAAATCAATAGGAAGTAAACATCATCCGATATCCATTTAGGATGATTTAACATAAACAATAAACAACTATACGTGACCCAGAGCATGTACGAGTAAAACTTTGGTCGTAGAGTTATTACCTATACCTATAAGACAGTTGCTCTTATAAAAATCTGTTCTCTTACATAATACACCAAAAGAAGAAAACCTATCTCGTCGAAGTTGTTTCTATATTTCTAGAAATTAATTAGACAATAATCAGTAAAATACTTATTTCACAATATTTCGATATTATCTCAAAAATCAAAACTACATTATCGAAAAATAAATACTTGAAGTTATGACACAATCTAAACTTTGCTCGGATAACATCTATCCCAAATAAGGACCCTTTTAATAGAGTGATATCGTTATCACTGATAAGACTTATCAAGCGGAGAATGCGATTGTTTATTTTTAGTAATTACCTACTTGTCTTGTTTATAGTCTAGGCAGTAACAAATCAGACTCTAGGTAATATCATAATCAATGGGTTAGCATGGTAGTTGACACCATCAATAATTTTTATACTTTTAGGGCTAAAAATCAGCCCTTAATGATGTATGAAGACGCAATCATTCTTTTTCGTGGCATGGGGTCTATAATTTACTATTCACTATTACATAAAAATAATAATTAAGTCTGCGTAATCGAATCAGAAATAAGGAGATACCTCGCAGAATTGCTAAAATCAAGTGGCAGTGGGCGGGGCACATAGCTCGTAGAGACGATGGCCGTTGGGGCAGAAAAGTTCACGGGTGGCGACCACAGGCTGGAAGACGTAGCGTGGGCAGGCCTCCCACTAGGTGGACCGACGATCTGGTAAAGGTCGCGGGAAGAGCCTGGATCGAACGAATAATTAAATAAGTAAAAACATAACCCTCCTTCTGGCTGGCGCAGTCGGGTAAAATGCCTCTATATTTTACAGTGATACGTCAATTAATAATCAAATCAAATCAGCTTCAATCAATGAAATGATGGGATAATTATTCCCAGCCCTTTCAAGGTTCTGAAATTACCCATTTCCAAATGTATTGATAAATAGGATGATGATTGCTGATAAAATATTTGCACAATAATGAGTAACATGTGTTACTCATTTGTTAATTTAATCCTAATTCAGATTTCATTATGATTAGATAAGACTATTTTTTTAGAAAAAAATTCAAATCATGCTGCTTTACCATTTCCTTTTGTTTTAAAAATAATATATTATTATGAATATATTTACGGATGTTCTTCAAAAATCGTTGCGGGTCCAATGACAGTTGATTTTTTCCCAGGATCAAACTTGCCCTTCACTGGTTGGGTTTTATTGGTGGTCAAGCTTTAGATCCTGGCTATACAGGAGTTGCAGCGGTGGGAACGAGAGGTGAGAATTGTCCCGTCAGCTCTGGCCCTTGAATGTGACTCAAAAAAGTTTCAACTGTTATTTATTTACAGCGATACATACTTATTTAGATAATATTAGTTACATAAATTAGTCTTTATTTCGTAATTCCGAACCAATTACAGCTTTTGCTATAACGGCTAGATAACGGGGAAACAAATACTTATACTTATTTTTAGCCAATCAACAAGTTTACAATCTGATCTTAGGACCAGTTCTTCGACTTTGCATTTTGACAGCGGAGGCCTCGCCTTATTCGTGTCGGATTTATTATATTTTTTGCAATGTTTTGATGTTATGCAAATAGGCATTGGAAGAGTTAAAAAAAGCTGGCGCCAAACCTTATTGCAACCGTGCCAGTGCCATTTTTATAAGTTTTTGACAGCTGTCTGGCCTTATGAATTGCTGATGCGTTAGTGGGTTCAATTCCTACTGGGGACAGATCAGTGGCGTAGCTAGCTAGGTAACCAAGGGCCCTGGGGCAAATTAAAAAATGGGGCCCTGCTGCTACAAAACTGCCAACCCACAGAAAGAATTTAGGGGAATTCCCTAGTTATAACTTTCGAATTTCGAAAATGGGAGGAATTTTCAAAGTTCAGTTCAATGACAAACCTATAGAGGATTTAAGACACTATTTAAATCAAACATGTAAATAAATAAATAAATAAATAAATCTTTGGACAATTTCACACAGCGCCAGCTAGCCCCAAAGTAAGCAACTTAATGCTTGTGTTATGGGTGCTAGCTTAACGGATATACTACTTATATACTTTTTTTTAAATACATAAATATTATACATAGTCACACCCAGACCCGTCACAGAAATTAAAATTCATCATTTCAATTTCTGCCCGGCCGGGAATCGAACCCGGGACCTCTCGGCATAGTAGTCCGTTCTGAACCACTACACCAAACAGCCGACAAATTGTAATTGTAATTGCTCAATAATGAATAATAAATAAATAATAATAAATAAATAAATAATAATAATGGAGATTTTCTCTTGTAAGGATTCGGGGGGGGGGGGGGCCCTGAGCTTGGCCTCAGGGCACTGCCCCACCTAGCCCCTTGGTAGCTACGCCCCTGGGACAGATGTGAAGAGACCATTTCGTTAGTGTAATTTTTATAAGCTTTAATGGTTGTTTGGCCTTGTGTTTGAGTCACGTACAACACCAGATGTGGTTGTGAGTTTAGATCCAGCTGGGGACAAAATGTTTGTGTAATAAGCTCATTAATTATTTTGATTCATAGGCATGTGCGTATGTTTATAAATCCGTTATCTTCGCCATAGCACAAGGTCCATAAAGTAGCATATAACCCATTGAAGTATAGTATAGATATTGCCGGTCCCAACTCATTATAGTAAACACACATCAATCTTCATCACTCCATAGTATACTTCTTTAGTCTACGACAGTTAGGAAATGAAGACAAATCTATGATAGGACGTCAGACATTAAAATTCATCAGATCGTTTTTGTATACCGATGTGTATAAGGTCAGGTCACAAGGTAAATCTATATTTGGGATGGGACCTACCCTAAAATGGCTACATAACAATAATGACCAATGCCATCTATTAGGCTAATGTAGTGTTTCCAGCTCGATGGAATCACGACTTTTAGCATAGGTACTTATTATTATTCTGTGCTTTTAGTAGCTAATAAAAGTAAGGAGATCCTGATCTTTGGCTCTTCTTGGTCGAAGCTGACCTTCAGCTGCGAACTGCTAGAAAAAGAATTCCACGCACCACAAAGTCGCAGACACTGTTAGTCCTAAACATGCCTATCTTAGACTTCCAGAGCAGCTGGTTGCAATCAGGGTCTTCTCTTACAGTCTATATCATAATCAGTTCCATGCCATAGTTTGCTCTTAATTCCATGAGTTACAAGTCTTGTGTTTAAACAGAAGTAGAATAAATAACAAATAGCAGTCATTTACTTGGTGGCCTCACATCAGGTGATTTGTAGGTCCATTGCTCACCTGTATTGTGATGGAAAAAATGTATCACCAGCTTAACCATCAATGTAACCGTATATAAATCAAGTTAATTAACGAATTATACAGCACGTCAATATTAGATACAACTGGCCTTCCTCTAAAAGGCGAGATGGCACGAACCTGTCACTTGAGTGATATTAATGTGAGTTGACCCAAAAGGGTACCCTTGGGTAGCACAGTCGGAGTAGGAAATATGTTTGAGAAGAAAAATACGCTTGAAGATGTTGTCGATCAGCTACAATTTAATCGCCTATTATCATCATCATCATCTCAGCCACAGGACGTCCACTGCTGAACAAAGGCCTCCCCCAATGCCTTCCATGTTACCCGGTTGGCAGCGGTCTGCGTCCAGCGCTTTCCTGCTACCTTCATGATGTCACCGTTCCACTTTGTGGGTGGACATCCCACGCTGCGTTTTCCGGTACGCGGCCTCCACTCCAGAACCTTGCTGCCCCATCGGCTGCCAGTTCTGCGTACTGTGTGCCCTGCCCATATCGTGGCAGTTATAATCGAAGAGAAATAAGTATAATCCATCACCAGGATATTTGTCTCCACTACAGGAGAATTACTCTCTAATTTATCAAAGGCAAACGGAGATATATGGCTACACTCCCCAAATTGGCCAGACGAAGGTCTGATTTTCGTATATTTCTCAGTCACCTTTTTCAACATCCACAGGAATAGTCTGTCTGTGTGTTTTGAGAAACCATAAAATATGGCATAAAGACCAAATGCACGCTTTTTAGCGACTCTATGATCTAGCGTTGAACTTGAAAAAGTTGAACTCTCTCGATCCAGCTATCCCAATTTTTCAAGTAGGAAAAATTGGGAAAACAACTTGTGTTTACATCGGGCTTGGAATGAAAGCTATTACGTTTTTCGATCCCACATCATAAATGAACGTGGTTCTTAACATATTTCTGGCGCCGAGAGTACCCCAGCTATAACCCTGCCAAACTGAGGTCTGCAAAACTCGAGCAACCATTACAAGTGTGTATACTTCGTAATTCGCCGGTTATCAGTAAGCGCACGCGCACTTTTCACTTAGTATTACGCGAAGTTTGTGACGGACAAACGTATATTTACGCGATATTTATATCTTCGTATTTATTGACATTATTAGTGGGTGTGCGTTAATTTGAAAGGATCACAGTGGGTGCACGATTTATAAACAAATAATATTGCGGAAAAACATACTAAAAAGTAAAAAATTTAAAGAAAAGGTGGAAATTAGATCGCGTTGAAAAAATCCTAAGAAAAATATCTTATAAGAAATAAAAGAGAAAAGTGCGTGTGTTTTATGGATTTCATAATCAAGTGTCTATAATAACATACTTAATTCCTTATTTCATATTTTAAAGCAAATATTTTGATAAGTAACATACATTTAATTAAGTGAACATTTAAATAACCATGTGTTAGAATGTAAACAAACAAAAGTGAAGTCCCAAAGATGTGTCAGACTAGACCTAGAGACAGGTGCTCCAAGAATGGCGTGAGAGTCCACCAGAGGTGACGATGACGTCGTGGACGAAGGAACTGGACGAGGCAGCGGACCTGGCCACGAAGGCTGGCTACTGGCATGTGGTGCTCTTCTATATGCTGTGCGCTTTGGCCGCCATACCCACTTCTTTCCTGGTCTTCTCTCAGGTAACTATAAGTTTTATTAAGCGTAGAGTTATTTAATTTTTGGAGGACCCAAATATACAGGGTGTTAGGAAAATGGGTTTATGAGCCGACACTAACCCATGTTAACATGGGCATATAAATGGTATGGTGAAGTCAGAAAATTGATATCTTCATTTTAATTATTTTAATTTTCATACAAATCGGATTTTATAAAATGTATTTTGTATGAAAATAAAAAAAGTAAAATGATGAACTAAAATGTGAGAACGACTTTTCTCATACTTTGATACATCGTTTGATAGAAGTCTATGGATTAAGGCCGGGTAGCAGAGAAAATGGCGAAAATGAGGTTTTCATTTTTCATTTTTGAGGTACTAAACAGTAAAATTAAATGCTAAGATTTTTATTGGACATAGTTGAGGATATTTTCTAGGGCTATTAACGGATGGAAACACGATTTGACGAAGCTGACTCGATAGAATAAATTCCCAAAGTTACCTCTATCCGTTTTCTAATTATGGTTTTATTTTTAAAATAAGCGATTTGAGATTCTAAATCTTTTACTAAACTAAAGTTCAGAAATAACTTGAGGGCTTTTAACGGATGGAATTTTTATATTGCGTCTTATTTAGTTACTATGTTAAAAAATGTGGAAAAAATCGTCCATGACGGCTTGGACAATCTCATCAGTCGCGCGGTCTTATTTATTTATTGAAATTTGTTTGTCACAATCGTCATAAGTTAACCTATATGTTAATCTGGGTTATAAACAATAATACTATAAAGTTTCAACAAAATCCGTACAGTAATTTTTGCGTGAAAGAGTAACAAACATCCAGACATCATGACATCCAGACATCCGAACTTTCGCCTTTATAATATTATAGTAGGATAGGATATTCACAATCCAAACTAATATTTACTATTTAGCTTTTACTTACAGTAAATATATTAGTTTGGTTTTCACAATCGAACGGGTGCGAATCGACCCCTTTGAGAACTAGTAATCGCATACTACTAGTTCAAAAAAGAGTCAATTCGCACGCGATTTTAATACTTCTAATACATCCGGGCGAAACGCCTACTAAAAAAAAATTATTATTGAAAGGGGACGTTTCGCATATTCGTGCGAAGGAAAATCCTGCGAAACTACTACTAACCCAATAGGGGGTAAGAAAACACCCAGACCAATACAAAAAAATATGTATGCAATTTTAGTATGATATTTTTATTTATTAATAAACAAAAAGACTGAACAAAATTGATGCGTGTACTGATTAATGTAATTAACCACATGCAAAGTTTCGTGAATTGCAACAACTATAATTTATTATCCAAGCTCTAAATAATCGCTACTAAGAGTAACTGATCATAAAATGTTTTTCCAATCGCTCAAGCTCCCGAGGACCTAACGATAGGTCGGGTGACGTAATCTTGAAAATTCCGGAAGGTCGGGTGACGCCACGCCTCTTTGAACCGTGTTTACTTTGGCAGTTATATTTTATATTTATTCGATTCTAAAATATATTCCCAAAAATTCTGAAAGTTGTTTTAATTTGTATCACTTGGATATGATTTGTATTAGAAAGTGCTGTGAGTGTGACGCTTGAAAGGAAGGAAGTCAACCTAACCTAACCAACTGGTATTTCTATACTGTGTAGCCGCGAGAGCTCTTTGGCGCGCTGTCTTCGGCGAAGTATTGCGCGCGCAGATTTTGACAGCGCGAAATACCTACTTTAGCAGAAATACCAAGCCTTAATAAGTACCAAAAATATCGGTAAGCGGCCTATCTTGCAGAATAACTTCTCTCAATCAGCCAAACTTGCATTAAACATTGTAGTGTGTGATAAGATGGTGATAAGTAGACTTCAAAAACAGAATTTGCTTTGGGAATAATTTGTGAAATTCTTATGCAATTGAAATTCGAATGCTGAAAACAATTTGTTTTAATTTTATGCAAAACCTGACTCTGTTTTTTACTGTCCGAAGTTAAGAATGGAACTGAAAAATGGGAAAATCTCTATTCGTAGCAGAAAGGTTATAAAAATAAAGCACATAAGTATTTGCCGATTCGTTGTACCCATGTTTATTCATAGAAGTTCACCTAGAAACCTAGATTTTTTTGCAGGTGTTTTGGAAAGAAATGAAATTTCTAAACTGACTGACTGACTAACAAAGTAGGTAGCTTTTATTTTCATTTTTTGTAAATATTGTATTTTTTTTTTTATATAGTATAGTTTTTAAGTTTGTAAATTACCTGTACTTTATAATTTGTTGTTCTGAATAAAAGATTATGTACTGAAGTAGGTAGGTATGATGTGACTTATTTTGTAAATAGGTACTTTTTGCGTTGCAACATTTTGCAAATTGTTTTTTCGTGTTTGCTAACAATACCTAATTTATTATGTAGTTAGTAGGTACCTACAACGCAGAAGTAACGACCTATTGAAAGTCGATCTAAACTGCGCATAACATTTTTTTATGTACTGTAAAAGGAATTCATTAGTACCTTGTTTATTTATCTAACTAATCCATCCTCTTTTTGCAAGTATTTTTTATGATTAAAACCTTATAAATTCACAAAGGTGATGAACCAAATATATAAATAATCAGTACTAAATAAAAAATATGCAAATTGAAATTTAATTGGGAGTGCTCACATTTAAATACTCGTAGTATTGATGATCGATTAGCAGACTCTTTCGTTATTGACTAAATTAGATTTGAATGAAACTGGCCACATGGCTGCGACTATGGTGCTGGTAAATAAGTATGTCAACATAAAAACTCATAAAATTCATTTATTTTCGCAAATAGGCTTTGTAAAAACACTTTTACACGTCCCAGTATTAACCCTACTACTGCTTCGGGACAATAAATGGGCCAGAGCTGAGAAGACACATAATACGATGCTGATTGTAGAGCAGTTGACTTGTCGTAGGGTTGAGTTGTCATGAGGTCGAGTTGTCCGGGACCAAGTTGTCGTGATACCGCGATCTTAGAAGAGTTGCCGATCATATTAGTGTTTTAATGTTCTTGAGGAAGTTCTTGTTGCTTTTGCGGTTACACGCAGCAGGTATGCAGTTTCGCCAAAAAAGGAAAAACTTTTATGAAATAAAAAAGTGAATATCGGTAACTTATAAGGAATAGGCTAGATGACAAAATTTCAATTATTTTTCCGTCAGACAGATAATTGGAAAATATTAGACTCATATTTTTTATTTTCTTTCATAATTAAATAGTAACAGTGCTACATCGAGTTGAAATGGTGCGATACGTCACGCTTGAGTAGAATTTTTACTCAAAAGTGACGTCACGCGATATTTCAACTCAATATAATACTGTAATAATTATTGGATTATGGAAAAAATAAAAAATATGAGTCTAATATTTTCTAATTATCTGTCTGACGGACTAAATAGAATTTCGATTTAATTACCCAGTCATCATCCCTATTGCTGTTACAATATTTTTTACGCAATTTATTTACATTAATTTAGATATTGTATAACTTAAAATTTGAGAGAGACCACGCAGAGCGTCCAATGAAAGTTCTAGCTTCATTGGAAAGCACTGCAATCGTGACTCCTGAAACTCGGCGCTGAAAACGTTCACCACGCCTCCAAAGTCGGGCATAGCTGATAAATAAGTCTTTCAAACCCACTGACATCGTGATCTCATTCCACTACAAGAATGGCTGAAAATTTGCATAACATAAAGCTTGGGACATGCTCACATGCAAGCGTAGAGTACGCCTGAATACCGTTTCATAAAAGGAAAATAATACGTCGTATAGGTACAGTCAGCGTCAAATAGTTCGTGACACACAAAGTGGCCAAAATGTTGACAACACAACCACAGTACCTATATTCTAAAGTCTGTTCGCCGAGAGTTGATAAAAAAAAATATCAGAGGTTCTAAACTCATTATAAATTGCGGCCCGCTAATTTTTTTTGTCGATATAATGAAAAGGTTGGTAGATTATTTGGCCTGGCCTTTTTTTTGGCCTGGATTCTCGGCTCGGTTACAATTTAATTTTGGACTACCATTTATAAGAATGTTCTAAAAATACCAATTATCTACCAAAATCTACTAAACGATTTCGCACTACTTTTTTTTTCCTTTTCTAATCTGCTACTTGGCAATCTGTTTCCGCGAAACAATAATCCAATTTTCTGTCTGATTCCAATCCGGTTCTTGAGGCGTTCAGTAAGAGACTAGTCCAGTGAGTCATCTCTTATTCTTTCACTGCGAATCTTTTCGCTAGGTTTTGAATTCTATGTCTCTTCAGTCTAGAAAAGTGGAGACTGCCAGTTCCTTGCAGTTGAGAGGCGAGTTCGTTTCTGTGACTATCCAGTCTCAGTTGGTAACTTTTACTGTACTTTTCAATTTGCTGTTACACTGTATCCAGCTTGATATCCGTGTACATAATCTTGTTACTGACATAGGGAAGTATCATAAAAATGCCTCTAATGTTTTTGCTCTGGAACCTTTCGAGTATTTCTATGTTGCTGTGACTTGCTGAACCCCATACTTAGTTGTCGCACTACTAAATCATCGTTCTCTTTGCCTCAAATCTACCAAAAAAGTAGAAATCCACTAAAAGTGGTCACGCTGTGGCCGCCGCCGCCCGCCGGCCCGGGCGATTGACGACAGCTGCGTGGCTCGTACCATGGTACTCAGTGCGCGTTGTGACAAACGACGCCCGCCATACAGAATGCGATAATTAAGCGACAGTCGCTATAGCAAGACATTTCATAATATTTATCAACTCTCGGCGAACAGACTTTACTGTGACACAACCGTATGCCAATAATAATTGTAGCAAAGACGTGATGTGAACTTTTTGGCTACTTTGGGTTTCACAAACTATTTGACGCTGACTATACCTACAATACTAGTTGTATCTTACAGCGCCGCGATAGCTGACTGTACAATACTAACATAGTCTCTAAGATCAAATTGTTATTAGTCCGCCACTGTACAATTGTATGTGCAAAAGTGTAAATAAATAAATAAAAAATATTAACAAAATATGGTCTGCTTGGTCTGAAAATAAACAATTTACCTACCTATATTTATTTTTATTAATACTAGTTGTACGAGTAGCGGTACCGATAGCTTAATGGACCAACCAGACCAAGCAAGATGACGATGTAGCATGATTCATGCAGGAAGATTAGTTTGGTATTATTTACATTACCTATTTAATTAATAATGAATCACTAATATGTTGCTAAGCGCGAATAGAGGACGATTGGACCGATTCGATTTTTTTTTTCAAATATCGTTGATCACTGTGGAAGGTTTTTATGTTTGTAGAAAAAAAATCATCATCAACACTGGAAGAAAGTTATAGGTACAGGCTGTTTTCCACTATGTGAAAACGCAGCGTGGGTCGTCCACCCACAAGGTGGACAGACGACCTCATAAAGGTAGCAGGAAGGCGCTGGATGCAGGCCGCTGCCAACCGCGCCATGTGGAAGTCATTGGGGGCGTCCACTGCTGAATATTTAGGTCGTTCAGCAGTGGATGTCATGTGGCTGAAATGATGATGAAAACCCTCTGATGTCGCCAGTTACCTTATATGACAGTTACTTATTAATTCTGGTGCTTTCTTCGCTATATTCCTTGCTTAAGCCAAGAGAAGAGTTATTAAGTATTTTGCGTTCGGTCCCCCATGTCTGAAGTCTCATAACCAAAAATATGGCATTGATAGAACAATTTTGACCGACTCTGATACACCCAAGCCGGTATGACTTCTTTTAGGGACTGTTTAGAAACTTATGAGATAATTACGAATACATACAACTTTTCCTTTCTCCTACCTAAAGGAAACTTTCTGCAACGCAATGTTACAGTAACGTTTATTCGTCAGATAATGTCATAATGTCAGATAACCATAGCTGGGCACCGTTAATCAAATAGTTAACTTCGTTAATCGTTAAACCGTTAATAAAAAAATTAACTTCGTTAAACGTTACATTTAGCAAGATTTAACGCAAGTTAACGTTAATCGTTAATCCGTTAACACATTATAATAAAACGAAAAAAATAGTTGTAAGCAAGGTTCAAATAATTTCGAAAGCTTGTATCGCGCATGGAATTTATTCCTCTTTTTAGCCAGACAGTTTTGACAGTTCCAACTCCTTGCCAGACAGTTTTTTTAGGATAGCTGCCAAAGCCACGATGACCCAAACTTCATAATCCACCAACATTCTAACCTATATTTATTGGGAGCATACTCTGACAAACTTTCAACTTTTATAAAATGACGTTGATATGGCGTTCACCAGCTCTTAGTCTATAGTATCTCAATCTCAGAGCCTTGGTTCAATTACATTACAATACAATTTAGCACCAATGTGCTCAAAAAGACAAATCCAACTAACCCAAATTCGATGCGATTCCGCCGTTTCATTTAGGAGTTCCTATGGCCGCCTCCAGCCTGACTCCATCATTAGACCAGCTCAATGGTACCACAACATTGATACTTTAATTTGTAATCTGCCTGTTTCGTTATTCTTTAGCATCAAAGTATGCATATGTTACATCTCATATTATGTATAGGTAATGTATATAGCCACCTACTCTGTTGCACTAAGACCTAGGTCACTAAGTCTTAAGCCCATGTGTATGTAATTTCCACCATTACAATAATTGTCACTTAGTACGCAATAAAGATTTGAATTGAATTTGAAAGTATACCAAATTATTACAGCTCAATCGGTTGAGGTGAACTGGTCTAAAAATTCAGTTGNGTGTTTGAAAACTCCATGTCAGATTGCAATCAATGTCAAGTGAAATCTCAAATTGAAATGTCTCAATTTCAATGAGAAGGCTCTGCATTTATTCCTAGAATTCCACTAACACCGTCAAATTACCCTTTCGAATTCAAGACAGTGCAGTTTCCCATCAAAATCTGCTTCGTTATGACTATAAACAAAGCTCAAAGTCAAACTCTAGCGACCTCTGCACAAACTCCCATGAGTGCTCAGAGCGGGTGCCTGCGGAAGGTAACCGCGTGTGATGCTCGTAGTGATTTTCAATACAGAGCCCCGTACATACGTTATACATAAATCACATTTTTTAACATAGTAACTAAATAAGACGCAATATAAAAATTTCATCCGTTAAAAGCCCTCAAGTTATTTCTGAACTTTAGTTTAGTAAAAGATTCAGAATCTCAAATCGCTTATTTTAAAAATAAAACCATAATTAGAAAACGAATAGAGGTAACTTTGGGAATTTATTCTATCGAGTCAACTTCATCAAATCGTGTTTCCATCCGTTAATAGCCCTAGAAAATATCCTCAACTTTGCCCAAAAAAAATCTTAGCCTTTTATTTTACTGTTTAGTACCTCAAAAATGTAAAATGAAAACCTCATTTTCGCCATTTTCTCTGTTACCCGGCCTTAAAAGTTAATCCGTTAATAGAAATGTTAACTTCGTTAATTAACGATTAACGGATTAACGAGTTAATGCCCAGCTATGCAGATAACGCCCTGAAACTTTACCAGGAACTAGTAGAACTGGCCCTGAATTCTGCCTTCTGCCCGTTTGTAGGTATGTGACAAGTTGCAGCGTGTAATTGGTTAAATTAAACTTGATGAACTGAATCGTCGATTCACGATGAGGTTGTGCCTTTCATTTGATTAGTCTTTTCTCGTAACTCTACATGTAGATCAAATGATACGGACAGATTAATTATTTTATGTGCATCACTTGAAAAATACTGTAACTTTGCACAAAGAATAACCTATCCTAGATAATATCGAATCTAAGTCTTTAGACATAAGGAAAACTAGCTTGGCTTTTCCATTTCATATTGTAAAATTACTACGAGAAACTTATTACCACTATCTAGGTACTTATTTATTTTGTTAGCATAATTATTATAATTTGAAACAATATTTCTTATGCATGTTTTTCAGTTATGCATAGGTATTGATGACATGGTTTGAATGAATGAATGGTTTGGATGAAGCTGGTTTATTACAGCTTACAGTATAATTAAATATTATTATAAAATACACTAAAAATTTTTCTACATGCTTACCTCCCTTCTGTCTTAACTAATTTTCCTATACAATGTATTTTGTTTTTGGAATAAATAAATTGAATTTATACCTAACGTCTCCGTGGCCACAGAATAAGGCGGTTATCACACTGCGCCGCGCTCCGCCGCGGTCCGCGTGATTTCATATAAAAAAATCCACGCGCGGACGCGTCGTCAGTGTGTTGTGCCGCGCGTGTTTTCTATACAAACTGAGTACTTGCATACAATGATTAAATCTGTCGTCGCGCGTACCGCGGCGGAGTGCGGCGCAGTGTGATAATCGCCTATGTAATAGTACCAAGGTAGTAGCAATCGAGCGAAAAGTCGTAAGTTCAGATCCCACTCTAGGTAGCAGATATTTTAAACAATATTCAAAAAATAAAATAAAGCCTTATCATTCCAGGTCTTCACAAACGCCACGCCAGAGCACTGGTGTGCGCCAATCCCCGAGTTGGAGACCTTGGAACTCCCTGATGAGCTGGTCCGCAACCTCACGGTCCCTCACAACGAGGGCGTGTTTGAGGGCTGTCGGGCTTACACCCTGGACCTGAAGGTGCTGATGGAAGAACTGGGGGATTATGCTGAGGAGAGGTGAGAGACCCACAAGGTGGACCGACGATCTGATAAAGGTAGCAGGAAGGAGTTGGATGCAGGCCGCTACCAACGGTGTGGAAGTCATTGGGGGAGGCCTATGTTCAGCAGTGGACGTCCTGTGGCTGAAATGATGATGATGAGGTGAGAGAGAAGTTTATGGATGACTTTTTTAATACCGAACACTTCACAAATAATTCTTTACACTAATAAAAAAAATCTACCTATGAAAACCTGGCTTACATTTATGTTTGCTTTAGATTTTAGACCAAAAGTAATTGTATAATTTTAGTTGACTTTGAAAATAAAGGACTTAATGATATTAATCATGGAAAAACACAGCTAAACAGCAGTTTTCATAAGCTAATAAAAAGTATCTCATTGAGAAGAACACATCATAATATTTAGGCGCTCATATTGCTAGTGATAAAGGTAGCAGGAAGGCGCTGGATGCAGGCCGCTACCAACCGTGCGATGTGGAAGTCATTGGGGGAGGCCTATGTTCAGCAGTGGACGTCCTGTGGCTGAAACGATGATGATGATGATGATTGCTAGTGATCTTCTACTGCTGTCACAGTCCCACACTCTTATAGCTATGCTTGTTCTAAATCCTAAATCGACTCTACAGAAAACAAAAAATCTGGCCAATTAAAATTGTATAATTTATTCAAGTTCATCAAGGTCGTTGACTTGTCATCAATCTCTATATAATTTTTATCGCAGATTATTTCTTTTATCAATTTAATTTAAATACCAGCTGTGTTTATGTAGGTACATTTATTATTGACGAGAATTCAATCAAACTAAGACAATTAAAAATAATTAATTGATCTTTTATCATGAGTCGCTCATATTAGATGTTTTTTTAATTGCAAATTATCTAGCAACCGTCAAAATTATTAAAATAATTATGAAATTCATCAAGTATTTAGCAATCAAAAACAGGCTTAACTTAATTCATTATAATTTTTCAGATCAGTTCTAGTACGAGAGGGTAATGCCCTACGCGTGGTGTCCTCCAAACAGCTGGTACCAGCAACGGGCCAAGAAAGAGAGCTACAAGTAAGTACCAGTTTATTCGTTCGTTTCAGCCAAATGACGCCCAGTGCTGAACAAAGGCCTCCCTTAAGATTTCAACACGATCGGTCCTGCGCTGCCTATATCCAGGTACTTTTCGCGATCTTTACCAGATCAGGAGTTGGGCTTACCTAGTGGAAGACCTGCCTACATACGTCTTCCGGCCCCCACGGGCCGAAGTTCTCGAGTGTTAGTGGCCAGCTCTACGAGCTAATGTGCCCACTGCCACTAAAGATTGGTAATTCTGCGGCCGATGGGGCAGCAAGGTTCTGGAGTGGCGGCTGCGTAACGAAAAACGCGGCGTGGGACGTCCACTCATTTGGTGGACCAACGACATCATTAAGGTAGCAGGAAGGCGCTGGACGCAAGCCGCTACCAACCGGGTAACAAGAAAGCATTGGGAGGCCTATGTTCAGCATTGGACGTCCTATGGCTGAAAATCTCTGCGGGAATTACATAATTTCGGTTACTTTGGTTTTCGTCATCGTAAACAAACAAAACGTTGATTTGATTGTCATGATGCTTAACCACATTATTTCTTGCAGATATCCAGGGCAGTGGACGCAATAATTAAAGCCAGGAGCGAGAACACAAGTTCTTGCAGCTGTGGCTGGAGGTTCAGCACGGAACATTACCAGAGGACCCTCGTTACTGAGGTAAGAAGAATATTCGATCATCCGTCGCTATCTCAACATCATCTTTGAATGATGGCTGATCAAGGTAACTATCAGCTCCTAAACATACTAAAAATCTTGTTCTTGGATTCAATTTTGTGAAAATTTCGAGTACGTAACGAAGTAACTGCGTGTACATAACTTGCGTCTTTGCTCATCCAATTTCATTCGTCCTTAGCAAGGGCGTTTTCACCATCAATCCCTAATTTTTAAGTGACCCCTATGAAAACAAAATTCCTGTTATGTGTTACCATAGGGCTCACTTCAGACTAGGGCAGCCCAATGAGACTCTTTTTTCCCAACCATTTAGCCAAAGATCTACATCACCTTATTTAACGTTAAGAAAATGGGGCTAGCATGGTACCCTTAGGTCTAAGGAGATGATGGGCTTAGTGGAGCTCTCAATCACCTCCCAAGCCTTCATTGAATACTTCGAATATGTAGCGTATTAACGACGACTAACAGACATGAGTTCGCGGGCATAAAAGGTATCAATTCATCTTCAAATGCCCATTTTCAGTTCTCCCTGGTCTGCGACGAGGACTGGCTGCCACGCACCGGCAACACGCTCTTCTGGGTCGGGTCGATATTTGGCAACCTCGTGTTTGGATGGATGTCTGACAGGTGAGGTTTGATTTTTATTCTTCTCGGCGTGAAATTTGGTAACAGAAGTTCTTCATCATCATCATCTCAGCCATAGGACGGCCACTGCTGAACATAGGCCTCCCCCAATGCTTTCCATGTTACCCGGTTGGTAGCGCTTTCCTGCTACCTTTATTGTTAGGGATATATTAAGTCCGCTACAGAGCAATAAATACAGTGGTTGGTAGTAACATAATAAATATATTGGTATCAAAGCACACGTAGAATATTTACAATAGAGAGTTCGGCACAGCCATTACACAGCTAAAAAACAACATCACATTTGAATATAAATGACAGTTCTATCATAGCGGTTCCAGCTAGCCAGCTCTACGTTATACAGCATGAAGGTGCTCATCAACATTTATGATGTCGTCGGTCCACCTTGTGTGTGGGACGTCCCACGCTGGCACAGAAGTTCTTGGTTAGCTTTTACTTTTCTTTAGTTTTATACTTCCCGCAGACTACATAATTTTGTCGGTTGATAGTTGGGCCTGATTTTAATTTGTGTGAAGAATCGGCCGATGTAATGTATTGTGGGCCCTTACATATGCTCATACTGATTAACAGCCCGCCCGACTAAACTATAACTAAGAGTAGGCGCACACCGTTGATTTTTCGTCGGCTAATAGTTTAGTCGGGCAGTTGATCAGTATAGTTAGTTGTATGGGAGTGCGCACACTATGCCGATTCGATTTGGCCGATTCTTCATACAAATTAAAATCGGGCACAACTATCGGCCAACTAAAAATCAACGGTGTGCGCCTACTCTAAAAGTCGGTGGTCTGCGCCTAGGTTTATGGAACCTATTTTTAAAAGAAAAACAGAAAACTTTTAAATAACGGCACAAACTCTAGAAGCTATATTTTCCAGACTTTTGCGTATACGTACGCAAATAATACTGAAAAGATGTTCAAAAAATATTTACAACAACATGTTTATAAAAATCACAATAACAAATTCTATAATTTATTAAGATTTAAGGTTTTTGAACTTCCCGAGCGTCCGGTAGTAGCTTCACAAACAGCGCGTTTGTCATGCACAACATTGTTTGCGGTTACTTTGCATGCGTACGCGCAGGACCCAAAACAATGGTACACGATAACGTGCTTGGATTTTTTGAGTGACTTTATTACTAAACTAAATGCTAAATACGCTGTATTAAAATACCTATGCCGAATTGATGGTATCGGAGTAACTTATAGTAAACTAGCTTTTGCCCGCGGCTTCACCCGCGTGAAATTTAGTTTGTCACAGATCGTCAAAAATTACAGCCTATATGTTATTCTGGGTTATAAACAATAATACTGTAAAGGTTCATCAAAATCCGTTCAGTAGTTTTTGCGTGAAAGAGTAACAAACATCCAGACATCCAAACTTTCGCATTTACTCGTATAATATTAGTAGGAAGTAGGATTTACAATAGGTATTTGACTGTTTGTAGGTACTTATTACAATAATAGTGAGCTCATTCGTGATACAAGCTTTAGCTTAGTACGAGAGGCTAACAAGACTATAAGTACTAATTTGTGCAATGCAATTTACTAATATTTTTTTTAAATGTTGTTAAGAAATAAATACAAGAGTATTGAGATACTAAAGCCCATATTCACAAACGATGCTTGCTTAATTGAAGCAGAAAATCAAACGCAAAGCGTGCGTCCACGCGCAATGAATATGGGCGTACGCCTCAAAAGACTCGTCCAGCTCGTCGACTTGTCCAGCTGTGGACGCAGGGCCGGATCTACCTATGGGCTGATTGGGCTGCAGCCCAGGGCCCCGGGGTTACAAGGGGCCCCCAGATCCCGCTAAAAAGTAGGCAATAATTTGAAAAAAAAAAAAAAGTCTGTAAAGTCGGTTTACGGACGATATTTTTACGTGACAACGTCATAAGAAAATATTGATTAAAAATTGCATCTGCACGGGATCTGGGGGCCCCTTGTAACCCCGGGGCCCTTACGTTACCTAACGTAAGTAATTGGCAGAAAAAAAATAAAAAAAAAATCTCAAAAATTTTTTGACCTCTTTTTTGTCGATAAAAATAGGTCTACTTTCACCTATTTTCATATGTGCACTTTATCGTGACTCACACTGTATGTACATACAGGGTGTTNCAAGTATTTAAAAAGATATCCCGCCTGATGTGAAGAAGTAAGGAAAAAGACATGTATCAACTGTTTGATACGTCGCGAGTTGCGGCCTATTTACCCCCTATAAAAGCACGTGTTTTCGGATTTTTGCTTTCACACGTTGATCCATACACATCTCCGCTTCTTTTGACACTTTACCTGGGATTCTTCACTTTCAGAAGCAGCACAAATCGTTGCACTATTGCAAGAAGGGCTCAGCCAGCGGGCTGTCGCACGTCAGCCCCACATAAGCCAGTCCTGGGTTTCGAAAGTTTTAAGACGCTTTTGGGAGACTGGTGGCTTTATCCCGAGACCAAGTTCTGAACAGCGCCGGTGCACATTGCAGAGGGATGACCGTTTTTTTCATGTCAACCTCTCTATGAAATCGTCATTTGACTGGTATCGACGTCCAGCAAGACCTCAGAAATGTTCATAGGATAGCTGTTAGCGAGTGGACAGTTCGTCTAAGATATGAGCAATAGAACTTGACTCCAAAAAGGCCTGCCACAGGCTCGAAACTGACGGCAGGTCACCGATAAGCACGCTTTCAATTAGCTCGCACTTATTTTGATGGGAAGGCGAATAATGGAGGCGAGTTTTGTTCTCCGATGAATGCAGATTGTGTTTGCAGTGCAGCAGTCGAAGAGGTCGGGTCTATAGGCGGCCTGGGGAGCGATTTGTGCAGTGCTGGTTCGCTTAAACAGTGGCTTATGGGGGTGGCTTGCTCGACTTTCCATCAAGATGTGTACGAGCAAATTGAAAGCGTGCTTATCGGTGACCTGCCGTCAGTTTCGAGCCTTTGGCAGGCCTTTTTGGAGTCAAATTCTATTGCTTATATCTTAGACGAACTGTCCACTCGCTAACAGCTAGTTAGTTAGTTAGTTTTGCAGGGCAATCGAATACCGCACTTAGCCTCATGATAGGGCCATTGTGCGCGATTTGTGGTTTATCTTCCTACTCCAACCACCCCAGATCCCCCCAGAAGGCGAGCAGCCCGTCTAGGCTGCTGCAGGCCTCCTGTAGCGACGATGGTGATCGAAGAAATTGAGCCCGTTGTTCTTCCACGCTACTGCTATCGCTAACAGCTATCCTACGAACATTTCTGAGGTCTTGCTGGACGTCGATACCAGTCAAATGACGATTTCATAGAGAGGTTGACATGAAAAAACGGTCATCCTTCTGCGATGTGCACCGGCGCTGTTCAGAACTTAGTCTCGGGATAAAGCCACCAGTCTCCCGAAAGCGTCTTAAAACTTTCGAAACCCTGGACTGGCTTATGTGGGGCTGACGTGCGACAGCCCGCTGGCTGAGCCCTTCTTGCAATAGTGCAACGATTAGTGCTGCTTCTGAAGGTGTAGAATCCCAGGTAAAATGTCAAAAGAAGCGGAGATGTGTATGGATCAACGTGTGAGAGCAAAAATCCGAAAACACGTGCTTTTATAGGGGGTAAATAGGCCGCAACTCGCGACGTATCAAACAGTTGATACATGTCTTTTTCCTTACTTCTTCACATCAGGCGGGATATCTTTTTAAATACTGGTGTGATACAAATGAATTTGGTATCAATTTAAAGTTAAAAGTTTAATCTTTACAATGGTGCCACTTTTTGTTACTAACAAATTGATTAGTATACAAGATTGCGTGGAAACAACTTCATGTAAGTGATTTCATACTTTTGCTCGCGAGTGTAGAAACAGTTTTTTGGCATATGGCTATTAGTTGAGTAGGTACTAAGATAGGCCCCCAGCTAGTTTCAGCCCAGGGCCCCACAAATTCACGATCCGGCCCTGTGTGGACGTCTTCATATACACAAAAATATGACGATGATGATGTCTAGATCAGTACCTATTCTAATTCCAGGTCAGGTCGTCGGCCCACCATCCTCCTGATGATCCTGCTAGAGGTGCCTCTAGCGATTGCAGCTGCTTTCCCCAACAACTACTGGACGTATGTGGCTCTGAGGATCGCTGGGGGCTTGTTCTTCCCGGCGTTGTATCAGCAGCCGTTTATCCTGGCTTTGGAGCTGATGCCGCCTAGGAGCCGGACTTATACGGGTATGTTTGGGTCAACACCGGTCACAACACTCACAACCTTTGTAAGGTCATCTAACTGTCCAACTCGTGGTTAATTCGTCCAAGGTCCAACCTTACAAAGGTTGTGACCGGCCAATCTGGAAATCTTTGAAGGTGGTTCATATTCGGCATGGAAGTTCTGTGGTTAAAATTAGGATGATGATGATTAAGATTTTCATAAATATCTTGAATAAACACTTGAATCAACTATTGCAGTTCAAGTGAGAGTCGAACCCTCACCTGAACCACTTTTTCTAAATGTTAGGTACACCACTAATACCACTATACTGATAGTTAATAACAATGTCTAATTGGACATTATTCCAATTCATACTAATATTACAAATGCAAAAGTAAAATAATGTATTTTTGTCTGTGACCTCTTTATGGTTAAACCACTGACATAGACACTTAGGGGAAAAGACGGGTTTTTTTAACCTGTTTTTTGAAAGGGGGACATAAAAATATGCGCTCGTTAGTCTTTTTTTATGGAGAGACCAAAATTCACGTTCGTGAAGCTGCAGACGAAACTTGTATTTATTGTTGAATATCAATGTTGTCATCTTTACCATTTCAGGTATTGTGGTAGGAATGCTGTTTGCCAGCGGGATGTGCCTACTGGCGTTGTTAGCGTATGCTGTGAAGGACTGGTTCTACCTGTCCCTGGCTACTAGTCTTCCCTTTATAGTACTGTATGGGTAAGTAACGACATGAGTCATTGTCAGTATAGAATTTGAATAAATCAAAGACATTCTCAGTAACATATGGAGGTTCTGCTTATTAATTTCGTAGCGGTCGTAGTTTAATTTTCCCACGGAACCAACTTCACCTTCACTGATTGGGTTTTTACTGGCGGTCAAACTGTAGATTCTTTCAACGAAGGAGTTCTTAGCAGCGGTGAAAAAGAGAGGTGGGAATAGTCCCACGGAGATAAAAGTTAATAAAAATAACTTACAATTCACCATAAATCCATTTAGAAGTTGTAGCCAAAGAACATAATGAAATGAAAGTATGTACCTATTTAGTTCTTAGAAAATAGTAGCATAAGATCCTTACTTAATAGGAATTGAGCACATTCTGTCATTAGTAGTGTAGAAAATAAAATAAGAACATACACCAAAATCATGATATTTTTATTTCAGTTATTATTGGCTCATACCAGAATCTCCAAGGTGGCTGGTCAGCAGAGGGCGGATAGCTGAAGCAGAGAAGGTATTCAGGAACCTTGCTAAGAAAAACGGCATTGATTTGCCTCGAGGGTTTCTACTAGAAATTCACGTAAGTATCTAAAAAAATCCTCTAACAAATATTGAATTGAATGGAGCTACAATTGAGTGTAAAAGTATTCGTAGTGTAGGAGTATTCATTGAGAATAATTTCTGAATTATTTGAAAATTCTGATCATAAACATAATTTTCAGAAAAAAGTTAAAGAAGAGGACGCCGAAACAGAAGTGACAATGCTCAGAAACGTAAACGGAAATATCTCTGGATTCCCAGACCCAGCTGACAAGGACGACTTTGTAGACAGAAGGATCAGTAACATGCTCACATTCAAACCAGATTTCACCAGAATCCCTGATAGTGACGAACCAAAAGGAGAGAACCTTGAAAGAATAATCGCACACGAAGTCGCTGAAATAGTGAATAAAAAGGCGCGATTAAAAAAAGAAAGAGAAAGCATCAGAGATGATGTATTGAAAGAGGAAGACGGTATTACAGAAGAATCTCATTTAAACACTGACGCTAAACAAAAAGCAACGCAAACTGAGCCGTATAAATCTCCTGCTAATACATTGAGAAGAAAATCCCTACAACTTGTAAATAAAATCTTCATTAGGGACGGAGAAGAATATGATGTAGAGAATAAGAGAATGGACGATGAGAACTCAGAAGGAGACTGCAAAGCTTCTCCATTAGATGTCTTTAGATATCCCAATATCAGGAAGAAATTCTTCCTTCTCACCTTCAATTGGGTGGCTATAGGAGTAGTTTATAATAGTTTGAGTTATAATACGCCTAATTTAGGTGTGGATGATTATTTGGCGTTCTTCATTGGTAAGTAGATACGAGTTTTTTTTCCTTAATCATTTAATATCTGATTGCTTTGTCTCAAGTATCATGATTATTTTTCGATGCTGGAGGGAAATCGAACCTTAACTTCGAACTCCTATGTTCTTCTGGTTAATTTTGTTGCGGGTCCAATGACAATGTAACTTTCCCCCGGGACAAACTTGACCTTCACTGGTTGGGTTTTTATTGGTGGTCAAGCTGTAGATCCTGGCTACACAGGAGTTGCAAAGAGGGAACGAGAGGTGGGAATAGTCCCGTATTTTTCGACGCTATTTATCTATGAAACAGTTTAGTTGATAAAAAGGAAAAGAGTGTCATTAAAACCAAAAAAAGTTTCGGAATTTTAACCTTTAGAGTAGGCGCACACCGTTGATTTTTAGTTGACCGATAGTTCTGCCCGATTTTAATTTGTATGAAGAATCGGCCAAATCGAGTCGGCGTAGTGTGCGCACTCCCACACATGCACATACTGATCAACTGCCCGACTAAACTATCGGCCGACGAAAAATTAACGGTGTGCGCCTACTCGTCTGTCTCATTAGACTTACTTATCTTAGTTTCTTTGTGTCGTGGTTTCAATCTATCATAATGTATCTATGTTATAGGTCGTAGGGTCTAATAGGCTAGTTTCCTAAAAAAATTTTTTAGTCCGTCATGTTTAATATCAAAAAATATTGGACACATATATTTTTATTTGTCAATCTAACAAATAATTACATAGTTATGCTGCGTTGAAGTTCCGCACGACGTCACAACGTGCGGCACTTTTATGCACGCATTGACGTCACGGGCCTCTTCTTATGAACTTTGGCGCGCTTTATCTCTTTAAATTTTCATTAGTTTGAAAAAGTGAAAAATACGTGTAGAGTATTTTTTGATAAGTTAACTGACGGACTAATTAAAACTCTTGCTTTTTGACCCAGGAAACATCCCTATTGCATCTGTTTTACTACGGGTTTTAAACTGTACTTGATAATTCCAGGTGGCGTGGTAGAGTTACCATCGTACTTCATGGCATGGCGCTGCATGGACCGGTTCGGGCGGCGCTGGGTGCTGTGCGTCTTCACGCACGTCGGGGGCCTGGCATGCTTGAGCTGCGTCTTTGTTCCTGAAGGTAAGACAACATACTGCACATACAGGGTGTCCCAGAATGGGTGAATCAAACTGATAGGGGAGGTAGCTCTACTAATGTACTATCCCAAAAAAATATGAAAAAAAAAATAAAGCTCACAAGGAAACAATTTTTTTTTAAATAGTGAAAATTAATCAGCTTTGCCTAAGTATCTGGCTATGATTGCTGCGTTTGGAGTTTATTTGTACTTTTTTCTTACTAATATTAATTGTACATGATCGCTTCGTTTATCTGTTAACAAACTTTTGAAAATAATGACTAGATTTCGAGTTTAGAGCACTTTATTTAATAAAAATCCGAACTCAAAAATATTTTTTCATATTTTTTTGGGATAGCACAGTCGCGGAATGAAAAGGTTCGTCACCTTAGTGTCGGTTTTCGCTTGCACTAGGTACTGTAAGAGTCAAACCTGCCAACATAACAGAGTGCAAGAAACAGTGCTGCTAACATTTAAATAAATATGACGTTTGCTAACGAATAAGGTTTTGCTTGTTTATTTTTCTATCCCATCAGTGCAATGCAATGATGACATTGACCAATTGACAATAGTTTTTTTTTATTTAATAGAAATAATAATGGCAGGTTGAACCAACAAGAAGGTTTTAGTTTATCAATCATAATAATCTTCTTGACAAGATAAATCGTCAAACAACTTTGATCTGAATAATTTTGAACTTTACTGACGAACAGTTAAAGATTATTTTCTCTAACTCGAGATTATTCTGTAACATAGTTTCAAAAGGTAATATGTGCTCGCGATTCGTTGAAGGAATCAATTTGAAAACTGACGAACCTTTTCATTCCGTGACTGTACATTAGTAGAGCTACCTCTCCTATTAGTTTGATTCACCCATTCTGAGATACCCTGTATACGTTATAGGTTATTAAGTTATAAGCTCATTGTTTAGATAAGAACCAATTGTAAACACTTAATATGCAATAAAAAAAAATGAATTTGAATTTGATACCCCTTTCCTGTTCTGATCTGGTGAGAAAGACCTGGATGCGGACAGCGCAGGACCGGTTTTAATGGAAATCATTGGGGGAGGCCTTTGTCCAGTCATCATCATCATCATCATTTCAGCCATAGGGCGTCCACTGCTGAACATAGGCCTCCCCCAATACTTTCCATGTTGATCGATTGGTAGCGGCCTGTGTCCAGCGCTTCCCTGCTACCTTTACGATGTCGTCGGTCCACCTTGTGGGTGGACGTCCCACGCTGCGTTTTCCGGTACGCAGCCTCCATTCCAGAACCTTTCTGCCCCATCCGCCTTCAGTTCTGCGTACTATGTGCCCTGCCCATTGCCACTTCAGCTTATTATTTTTATTTATTTTTTATATTTTGTTTTAAAATGACATTTCTATACTTAACGTCACAAAAATGCTCTTCAACGAGCGTGTACTTTTTATAATTAATGGCCTTATACTAAAAGAGCTACAGTAAAAGTTTAGTTTAAGTCTAGGTTTGTTTCAACCAAAATAAATCCACTGCTATCTTGGTTACTTCAGTTATTCCACGGATCTCTTCATTTCTGATTCGATGACTAATGCAACTCTGAGCAAAGCTCGCTCCATCGCCCTTAGAATGACCTTGAGCCTTCTTGAAAGAAAGAATTAATTTATAAATTCCTTGTTTTAGCCTGGCCATGGATCACGGTGGTCTTAGCAATGCTGGGCCGGCTGTTCATAGCGGCATCGTTCGCGGTCTTCTACGTCCAGATCGGGGAGTTGCTTCCGACGGTATTACGAGCGCAGGCGATGGGAGCATCATCCTTTATAGCTGGTCTGGGGCTGCTGGCGTGCCCTTATATTGTGCATTTGGTAAGTGATTACCATGGGTTAGAACGGTCATAAAACCTTTTCATCAAATACTTTCGATTATCGACACAACTTTTTAAATAATCATTAACTTGAGGCAAACCATCTCAATTTTTCTTTTTTATGTTTATCAAACCCGTTCAGTCATCATCATCACCAATAATAGACTACTGCAGGAAAATTACATTAGGTACATCATCGTCAATTCATTATTATTTCAGCCACAGGATGTCCACAGCTGAACATAGGCCTCCACCGATGATTTCCTTAGTGACCGGCTGGTAGCGGCCTACATTCTGCCTTTATGATGTCGTCTACACCACTCTCCAATCACTCAAATTTATTAGAGGCAAAATAAAATGGAGATTGGTTGGGCAGTCCTGATGTTCGCATATTTCTCGCCTAGTCGTCTATTACGATTTCCATGAGAGAGTGGAGTAACCCTATTCTACTCTGATGGAACCATATAGCTGTTCATAAGTGCCACTTGTGGTCTAAAGTTCTAAACTGAATAAATATTTTTGATTTTGATTTTTGATTTTGTCTGTACTAAGCATCATCATCATCATTTCAGGACGCTCACTACTGAACAATATATGTAGAAGCATCCCCCAATGATTTCCAGATTGGCCGGTTCGTAGCAGCCTGCATTCAGCTTTCTGCTACCTTAAACCTAGGCGCAGACCACCGATTTTTAGTTGGCCGATAGTTGGACCCGATTCTAATTTGTATGAGGAATCGTCATGGCCATCTGTCCACGTAGTGGTACTAACCAAGTTGTATTTATTCCAGGCTACATACGCCAGGTCTCTCCCGCTCATAGTGATGGGTGTTCTCAGCATCATGGCAGGAGTGACGTCACTCTTCCTCCCTGAGACCCTCAACCAACCTCTACCCCAAACATTGGGAGACGGAGAAATGTTTGGAAGGGACTTCAAACTTCTAAGCTGTGTGGATAAGAGAAGAAGTTCTGTAAAGGATTTGGAATGAAGAAGCAAGTTTTGGTATGGCAAACTTAACTTTCACTGGTTGGGTTTACGGCGGTCAAGCTGTAGATCCTGGCTACACAGGAGTTTCAGTGGTGGGAACGAGAGGTGGGAATAGTTTCGTTATAGCTTTTGCCCGCGGTTTAAGTCGCGTTAAACTTTCAACCCCGTAATCCCCCTTAGGGGATGAATTTTGGAAAATCCTTTCTTGGAAACAGTAGTCATGTAAGGTGCCATAGTGTTTAGCTTCATGTGCTAGCAAAGGTGATACTTACGACCGCGGCGTTGGTTGATGTACTTTAGTAACTATAAAAATTTATAAAAATAAAATGTTTGATTAAGTCATACTATTGCTACAGTATATTAGTATTTCCTGTATTATAAAAAATAAGATAAAATTATTAAGTGACGTTGTAAATATAGGTTTGAAAAACTAGTTTTAAGGAATTTGTAATTACCTACTTTGGTCACATTTGGGTTAGAAATAAAAAGTGAAATTCAAGTTTGTTTTTAATTTTATCTAAAACTTTAGTAGTGTCAAAACATTTTTTCATCCCCTATTTCCTCCTTTTTAATTTTTCTTGTTTAAACTATTTTTTACAAAGACGCTAAAATAAGCCTATTGTTTCGTACGAAAAATACAACATACTGGAATAAATATGTGTTTATTTTTGAGTAAAATAAGTTTATATTTTTATTTTGTTTAGATTTAAGTCCACTTCATTATTTCAAATTGGCAACATTCTTTGCAATCTGAAGTTGCTGAGCATGCAAGTAACCAGTGACAGAGCAATGTGAAGTTAGTCGCGCATTGCGAGTACGCCAGTCGAGAAAAAAGATTCAGTGGAGGGTAGATGAACGGAACGCGATCGAGGGCGATAATTTTTTTTATTGCTTCAATTTATTTTTGGACTTTAGTGTAAAAATCTGATGTTATTTTGTGTTCTAAAGACAATGTAGTGAAGTGAGTATAATAAACATTATTTTAAAACTGAATTTGAGTGTGAGTGCGTATCAAGTGTCGTCGAGTGATCCAACCCAAAAGAAATGTGGTCTTCATCAATGTCAAAACGTCAAGAGCATTTTGGAGTTAAGCGGGGCTTGAAATACGTCACTGAGGCGTAGAGGTTTGTGAACTGTTTTTTTTTATATCGCATACGAAGGCATTTACATTTTTTGATGATTGTGATGTTATTACTGGTATTTTTGTCATCAAACTGCCCATTTTCAGTATTACAATACAAGGTAGAAAATAAAAGTACAAGTAGGTACCTACTTCAACAAATCAAAGAAGTTTTTATTAAACTAAAGATTGAGTAAGTTTCTATCAAAATCTTTGTAACTCTTCTGTAATCTCCGAAACTATATTCAGAATATTCGGTACATCTCTGGACCGTACGAATTTTAATAACAAACTTATGTAGGTATTCACAGTTTAGGAACTTTTTCATCAAATACAGACGATACAATAAACTCACTTATTAGTAACCACATACACTTATTATGAAGTACTAGATAGATGGGTGGTTCTACTTTTAGAGTCCATCACAAAAATAAGGTTGTCCCCACAATAACGAAGGTTAATACTTAATACAAAATGAAGAAACTATCATTTATTTTATTTAAATAAAGTTAATAACACCTGTTTAGATTATCTAGTTACGCTAAGTTTCAATTACAATTTAACTGTGTTAAAAAAATGACTTCAAACTTTTATAACAAAGCTAAAACGGCATGTCCCCATTAGGTGTTGCTTAGAACTATTACGTTTTTTAGAAATAATTTGTTGAAGCCACACAATTATTTTTAAATAAAAAGATATATACATTGTTAAACATGGTAACTACAAAGTTTAATTTTATTTATCTGTAAAAATATTTTTTTTTGGTGTGACGAAAGATTGTCCCGAAAATTGGAGTATCCATCGTCACGAACAGTCAAATATTAAAATAAGTTCTTAAAAAATACGTGAGTAGATCACGTTTTTTAGTAAAACGAAAGGCCATAGACCATAGAGTATAGAACGAAACTCAAATCAAGTGTTTAACATAGCCAGCTTGTCACTTCTTTTACATCAAGCACGAAAACGGGCGGCGTGTGTTTATTAGGCGTATCCTTGGTCACAGCGGTTTTTGGTATTTATTTAACGAATTTTAAATTGTTTTACTGTAAACATGATTTGTTTTTATGTAATCTTTAAGATAAAGTATAGTTTTCGATCCAAATTATCGTTATTTACGATTATTATTGATCTTTTAGGAAAATTGTATACTTCGTCACACGTATCCTTCGTAACAGGTGATTCTACATCTAAACGATGTGTCCTTTGTGCAGTTAGATAATGTTAAAAATGTTAAAAAAACACCTCAGAAAAAGGTACACGAATTTTGTATACGTTTAGTAAACCAGTTGAAGCAGTTTTTGAAATGTTTTTTTTCCGTAATACTCTTAGTTTCAGTTCCTATTTGTGTACGTTTTTGCTGATTTTCCTCATATTTTTCATTATCTATTTTAGTAATAAGCAAAGATATGCCTGTGCTTAATGAAAACATGACTGAGACACTCATTAGTTTTCAAGTTAGATTGATTATTAATTGTTAGATGTCTACTTCATCACATTTACGTCTCCTTCGTAACGAAGAGTTTGATCTCGTCCCCTAATAAATATTATCTCTTAAACAACAAAAATGCGAGTGTTAACTCTTTTTGTAACTCATTTAATGTCGTGTAATACTTGGTTTTTAGTGTGTAATACTACTTTTTCAATATAACTTTATAAAAGAGAAAAATAATTGATTTTTGTTAAGTTTTAAAGGTGTAAATGTGACGAAAGGGACAAACTGTTGATTTTTATGGAATTGTTACCTGATTAAATAACGATTAACTACCAATTGTCCAAGACTGATTTAAGCTGAGATTTTGTAATAATAAATGCAAATATCTATTGAAATTTCTTTTAATTTATCGAGTTTTAAACAACTGAATTTCGTGACGAAGGGTACATTTTTTTCCATCTTAGTTTAGTAAAACGCAAAAAAATATAAGTTTCGATAAAAAACTGAGCTGCTGGTCTACAGATACCGAATCTATGGTAATTTTCCTACATTTCAGTCGTATGAAATGTACTAAATAGCTTTCTTTATTTTTTTTCATGGTTAAGACCTTAAAAGTAGAACGACCCAGATACCTACATTCATAAAACATATAACTGCAAGATTACTAAGATGTAACTGAATATAATCTCAAATAACGCAAATGGTAGAGTCGCATCAATGTCAAACCAGCCGCATGCACTGAACTTGGTGACGACTCTGTTCACGCGTCGAATGGCTTTGCAAATCTTCTTTACCATCTCTGTAAACAAAATAACATTAGAAAACTTATTGTAAGTACAAAAACTATTACAATGTGACTAAAAACTGATTCTGGTGACAATAGTCCAACGGTGAAGGTGTCGGACTGCGTACTCAGATCCGAGGAACGCTGGTTCAAACCTCGCCGCTACGGGACTATTGTGGTGAACCCACTCGTAATACAAGCATATTAGCTTAGTATGAGGAGTTCACGGGACAAGGCAGGTATTAGCAATTTGTGCAAATGCCTTCAAGCACATGACATTCAAATTCAAACAGTAAACTCTAGTTGTAAGGTACGAGTACATACTTGAACATCCCGAAACTGCCTTCATCGTGCACATAACCTCAGTCTCCCTGAATGCCAGGTACAGTTTGTTACATTCCCAGCATAAAATAAATACTAATACCAGATTTTTCAAAATCCAAAAATGCCGAATCGCGATTATCCTTATAGCACCGTCGACAGATAGCTGTTGGGGTGATAAAAAGATGCAAGTATGAAATTACTCGAAAACTGTATAAGGAAGAATACAAATATTGCAATTTATTATTAGAAAGTACCTCTTTAGCAGATACCACATGCCACCGTCACCGTACATCTTCAATGTCGTGACGTAAGAAATGCAATGCTTTTATAACCGTTTGCGAAATATAACATAGGACCTAGAACAAACGCATTTTGTTAGATATTTCTGGTTGCTGCAGAAGCACGGACATCTCTAATTTACCAGAGGCAAATGGATGACTTTGTCTACTCTCCCCATACTTTGGCCAGACGGTTAGAGAAGGCCTTTTGTTTTCATTTGTCCCACAACTCAGATCCAAGCATCTAGCATTCCGTAGAAAACATGGCTCATCATCATTATCATCTCAGCCATAAGACGTCCACTGCTGAACATAGGCCTCCCGCAGTGCTTTGGTTTAGTGCAGCCCGGTTGGTAGCGGCCTGCGTCCAGCGCCTTCCTGAAGACTTGGCTGCCTGCTATAAAATGATAAAATACAAAAATCTAAAGAAACACATACCACGAACTTGTAACATTGTTTGTTCAATTCGAACGTCTCTATTATTTCCAAATACATTCGGTACATCTTTCTGTTTATAGTAGAATTCATTTCTGACTGTAACTTTGCTCTTGAAATCCAGGCTTCCAAGCTGTTCTTTACAACTCTCATCGTGAACGAAACGTACACAATATTGATATCAAATGATTGTAGGAAAAACACAGAAAAAATGTAGAAACCAGGTGCTGTTAAGTATGTTTTGACGATATTCAAGAAGTGATGTAAAAGTACAATGAAAATCCCGATCCAACTGTAGATGATGGTTCTCTTAAGAGTATGTCTGTTGTGGAATGGGACAGTGATCCTTTGCATTCGGATCATCAAATCCACATTTCTAGAAGAATCCAAGACATTTGTTTTGAAACTTGAAAGCAACACAATC